GCAGTATTACTCCTTTCTTAGTATGATGGGTTTTTTTCTGATTCATGTTTTGTGGTTTTAGTCGGTGACTAAGATGGAAAAACGTAGAAGAACAATGCAATTTTCTAAAGCTGGTGTTGTGGCTGATGATGAATCAGTCGAGCGAAAAGAAGACGACGATGATGATGATGGTTGTATGGCCGTACATACCACGCCGGAACCTGCTGAAATTGCTATCCCGAGTTTTCCAACTGATTCTGAGGAAATGATTCATGTCGGTGAACTCGGTTCTGATGTGATGATACCTGCTGAAGAGGTTTGTGAAGAAGATGAAACTTTGGAGAGGATCTTACAGAAAACAGCTTGTCGCGATGATGATGAAGACTCAGAACGAATGGTTTGTCAACTCACGAAGTTCTGATGTTGATGTCTTTATGTTTTTTTATTTGATCGGTTTTAATAAGATATATGAAAACAGGATAGAGTAACTGGGAATGAAGATGTAACTGTACAAGGACCTCGTGTGCCCTCGTTTGTGGTTCATGTTTCAAGACCAGCTGAAGTTGAAGAGACAAGGAAGGATCTTCCGATAGTAATGATGGAACAGGAGATAATGGAAGCTATCAATTATCATCCTACGGTTATTATTTCAGGACAAACCGGGTGTGGTAAAACCACTCAAGTTCCTCAGGTCAGTTTGAAGATACCTGAGTTTTGGTCTCAGAGGTAGAAAATATCTAATCTAATCCCGTTTCTGAATCTTTTCAGTTCCTTTATGAAGCTGGTTTTGGTTCAAAGCAATTCAGTTCACGAAGTGGGATTATCGGGATTACCCAACCGCGCCGTGTCGCTGTCCTAGCCACTGCCAAGAGAGTAGCGTTTGAGCTTGGTGTTCGTCTCGGTAAAGAAGTCGGGTTTCAAGTTAGGTACGACAAAAATATTGGCGAGAACTCCTCAATCAAGTTTATGACCGATGGGATTTTACTTCGTGAAATTCAGGTAATTGACGGTTTTCCGCATGGTTTGTTTTGTGGATTCTTTTCCATTTAAACATGGATAATTGATTGTATAAGTTCTTCTGTGGCAGACTGATTTCTTATTGAGGCGTTACTCGGTGATAATTCTCGATGAAGCCCATGAAAGAAGCTTGAACACAGACATTCTAATTGGGATGCTCACTAGAGTCATCAAAATCCGACAGGAATACTACGAGGAACAACAAAAGAGTCTGCAATCTGGAGGCACAATAACCTCAGAAAACCAAATCATCACGCCGCTTAAACTTATATTGATGAGTGCTACTTTGCGAGTGGAAGATTTTGTATCTGGGAAGAGGTTATTCCCTAATCGACCTCCGCTTATAGAGGTTCCCACTCGACAGTATCCAGTAACTATACATTTCTCCAAGAAGACTGACATTGTTGATTATATTGGTCAAGCTTATAAGAAAGTGATGTCGATTCACAGAAAGTTACCACACGGAGGAATACTTGTTTTTGTGACTGGGCAGAGAGAAGTTGACTATTTATGCAAGAAGTTATGTAAGTCTTCAAAGGAACTTGTTGTTCAAGCTGCTAACAGAGATGCTTATGCGAGGAAGAAATGCGAGGATAGTTCATTTGGTGGTGTAGACATGAAGGAGATTACTGAAGCATTTGATGATGAGTCCAACAATCAAAATTATAGGTTTAGCTCTTATGGAGAAGATCCTTCTGAAATTGGTGATGGTAACTATAAAGATGATTTTGAAGAAGAAGACATGTATGAGTCTGATGAAGAAACCGACTGGGAAACTGTTGATGATGGCTTTGCAAGTTCATTTGTAGAGGAAGGGAAGCTTGATGCTCTTCGAGCAGCGTTTAAGGCTTTGGCAGACAAAAAAGGATCTGAAACTGCTGAGCCAAGAAAGTGCATTGCAGCAGAGAATCAAGAAGCTGAGCAGGAGAAAAAAACATCTTCTCCAGGAAAATTACGTGTTCTTCCACTTTATGCAATGCTATCTCCAGCTGCACAGCTTCGAGTGTTTGAGGAAGTTGATGAAGGAGAAAGACTTGTGGTTGTGGCGACTAATGTAGCGGAAACTTCTCTGACTATTCCGGGTATAAAGTATGTGGTTGATACGGGTCGAGTTAAAGTGAAGAATTACGATTCCAAGACTGGCATGGAAACTTATGAGGTTGATTGGATTAGTCAAGCTTCCGCTAGTCAACGGGCTGGAAGAGCTGGACGAACTGGACCTGGTCACTGTTATCGTCTCTATTCATCTGCGGTTTTTAGCAATATATTTGAGGAATCTTCGCCTCCTGAAATCATGAAAGTTTCTGTTGATGGAGTCGTTCTTCTCATGAAATCTATGAACATTCCAAAGGTAAAACGTTTGTAGCCACCGATTTCAATGGGCTAGATCTTTCTTACATATTTCTTGATCTTTCTTTGCCTTTTCCTATGCTTACAGGTCGAGAATTTCCCATTTCCAACTCCGCCTGAGCCATCAGCTATTAGAGAAGCAGAACGATGCTTAAAAGCTTTAGAGGCTCTCGACAGCAACGGAAAGTTAACGCCATTAGGAAAGGCTATGTCTCACTATCCCATGAGTCCACGTCACTCAAGAATGCTTCTCACAGTCATTCAAATGCTAAAAGAGGCCCATAATTACTCACGGGCGAATCTTGTCCTTGGATACGCGGTTGCAGCGATAGCTGCCTTGAGCTTACCAAACCCTTTGATAATGCAGTTTGAAGGAGAGAAGAAAAACGAATCAGAAGATGCTGGCAAAACCGTCAAGGAAGAAGATAAACAACGGAAAAAGGATCGAAAAGATAAAATCAAAGCCGCTCGGGACAGATTCTCCAACCCGACTAGTGATGCTTTGACCGTAGCTTACGCATTGCATTCCTTTGAAGTCTCAGAGAATGGCGCAGGCTTCTGTGAGTCGAATGGGATGCATTTGAAGACCATGGACGAGATGTCTAAGCTAAAAAATCAGCTTTTACGACTTGTTTTCAGCTGTTGTAAGCCTTCTGAAACCGATAATGGTTTCTCATGGACTCATGGGACTTTACAAGACGTAGAGAAGTCATGGAGAATCGCTGCATCATCTTCCTCAAAAACCCCTCTTTTACAGAACGAAGAGGAGCTCTTAGGAGAAGCCATATGTGCGGGATGGGCAGACCGTGTAGCAAGAAAGACTAAGGCGACGGAGTACCAAGCGTGCACAGTTCAAGAACCTGTTTTCTTGCACCGTTGGTCGTCTCTCATAAACTCAGCTCCAGAGCTATTAGTCTACAGCGAGCTCCTCCTCACCAACAGACCGTACATGCACGGAGCAACACGGGTGAAGCCTGAGTGGCTGGTCAAACACGCAAAGTCTCTATGCGTGTTCTCCGCGCCACTCAAGGATCCGAAACCGTATTACTCGAGTAAGGAAGATAAAGTTTTCTGCTGGGTCGTTCCGAGTTTCGGTCCTCATGTTTGGGAGCTTCCGGCTCACAGTATGGCAGTAAGAGAGGATAGAGACCGAGCAGCGGCTTTCGGATGCGCTCTGCTTCAAGGAGAGGTATTGCCTTGTTTGAAAAGCGTTAGGCCGTTAATGGCTGGGAAACCTGAAACATTGTTGGAAAGAGAAGCTTGGGGTTTAGAAAGAGTTGGGAGTTTGGTAAGAGCGTTGAGCGAGTTGAAGATTGATAGTTTGGAGAGTTTAAAAAAGGGTTGGGAACAGAATCCGAATGTGCTTTACTCTGAGATTCAATCTTGGTTTCAGAAGAAGTTTCGTCATAATGTTAAAGAGCTTTGGCAGAGAATGTTGCAGGAGGCTAAGGTCATGCCTTTAGAACGATCTAAGAAGTTGAAGAGCTTAAGGAGTTAAGTTTTGTTATAAATGTTTTGCTCATCTTTTCTTTTTTATATATTGACTTGAAGGTGTACTGTAGTTCGCTCTCTCGTTTTTTATTGGTCTCATAAACATCACTCCACAGTAAAACT